CCTCCCGGTCTAGGTAGGGCCGCAACTGGCGGACCAGGCGAACCTGGGCAAATGCCCCCCTGGTCACAGCTGACAGCTGTCACCTATTTACTTCATACAACACCACCAAATGTCCCACAGATGCTTTTTTGAAAGGCAACTGGACTTTCTTTGTTTTTCCTTGAAGACATTTCACTTCTCATCCAGGAAGCTTCTTCAGTTTTCACCGAATGGTGGAGAATGGAAGGATTAGTCAATCAATTACAATTAGCGAATGATCAAAGGCCAGAATATTAAACAGGAGTGTGAGTTGTACAAAGCACCTATGTGGAAAATATAAGAACAAATTAGAAAACTGGCTTTTTTTTTTTGGGACAATGACTAAATGGTCATCCTCTTGTCCTATATTTTACAACTTCATAATCTTAGTTCTAGTTCATAAAAACCTTCTTAGTAACACAGGGCATTTTTTTTCTATATAGGGGAAGTCTGCATTACTTTGGAAATAACAAGTATACCAGTTCTGAAAAAAGTTAATTTTGCTGATTCCAGATCTATTTTTTTTAATAAGATGAAATCTGTTTCTCATATTTCTTCCTCCCAGCCTTACACACAACTTCATACACCCCAGAATAGCCTGGAGCAGATTATTCTTACCACTTGTCTGCATTACTTATTTGCAGGTAGCTTTGGGAATTAACCTGAAGGCTGCATGCCATTTGTGCAGAAAATAGCAAATTGCTAAAAATTGCCATCTTTGAAAACGTCAGGACCTGAATTCAACCAAGGGTTTACTTGTGCGGTACATTTTTCTCAGCCCCTTTACTTAATCCACTGCTTCACACATCTTTTCTTCCACCTGAAGAAATGAAATATCACATGCCAAGGCAAAGCTTTTCAAGTGACCTTTTGAAATAAGTGCTTAGCGGAAAACGTAATGTATTGATTTGCAATATGACCATTTGTAGCCAGGTTGTGAAATGTTCAGTGGTACAATCTAAACAAGATAGTAGGTGAGAGAAGAAGGGAAGAAAATTATGTGCGTATGTACACACAATGTACTAAACTCTAATGAGCAAAATTCCTGTATGCTATGCCCAAACCAATGAGCATCTTGTGGCTTATGTGGTGACAGCTAAGATGATGCAACAGGTTTAAGCCCATCCTTGGGTTCTCACATCATGCTGAGCTGCAGATTCCCTGATCCTCTTTTATCCTAGTTATATGATATTCATGCTATATGAACTCAGATGCCATATATGTTGGCATGTGCCAGCCAAGAATACTATAACTTATTCTTCTAAGATTGCTCAGATTTACTTAAACCAAGAGAATTGCTTTCATCACTTTGAGAACAACAGAGTTGAAACAACTGCAAAGCAATGTTATTCTTGGAATGCTTAAATGCCTTCTGCTATATGTGGGTGGCACAGCACAGATGAATTATTTGCACTAGAAAAAAGGATTGTAAAATAAATCAGGGGTGCTAGGATTTATTTATTTGTGATGAAGGGGTTGTATTCAGGGGTTGTATTCAGCCCATTCAGACTGGTTTGGGAGAACTGGATGCTAATTTTACATCTGGTTCACCAAAACAGTAATTGCAAGGAGTAGCTGACTCCGCCCCTCCCAGGAGTCTCCACGCAACCTGTTTTGGATGCTAGATAAGTTCAGGGCCTGGAAGGGTAAAAATGGGCCTCCCGGAAGTACGGATAGAGGCCCATTTCCGGCCTCCGGAGCCCGGGGGAGGCCGTTTTCATGCTTCCAGAGGCTCGAGGAAAGCCTCTGGAGCCTGGGGAGAGCAAAAACTACCCCCCTCACTGCAGTGCAGGAGGCCAAGTAGGCCACATCCACGATGGCCACACCCACCCAGCAACTGGGCAGAGAACTGGTAGCTAAAAATGTTCAATCCCACTCCTGGTTATATTCTACCACATTGGGGAAAAAATCCTCTTGATTTATATATACACACACATACACATACCCATACCCATACCCATACCCATACACATATATACATATACACATATACACATATACACATATACACATATACACATATACACATATACACATATACACATATACACATATACCATATACACATATACACATATACACATATAC